GGAAGGCTGCAATGGGGTCTCCATGGAACCTTCTCTTCTCCAGTCTGAACCACCCCAGCTGTCTCAGACTGTTCTCATAGGAGAGGTGTTCCAGCTCTCTAATCATCTTGGGATCCCTCCTCTGGACTCGCTCTAACAGGTCAATGTCCTTCCTGTGCTGGAGACTCCAGAGCTGGATGCAGCACTGCAGGTGGGGTCTCATGAGACCAGAGTTGAGGGGCAGAATCACCTCCCTTGACCTGCTGATCATCCTGCTTTTGATTCTTTCTGGATTGCAAGGGCACATGGCTGAGTCATGTCCAGCCTCATCCACCAGCAACCCCAAGTCCTTCTTGTCAGGGGTGCTCTCCTTACATTCTCCTCAGCCTATATTGACACCAGGGGTTGCTTTGACCCAGGTCCAACACCTTGCACTTGTCCATATTGATCCTCACAAGGTTCATATGGACCCACTTCTTCAGCTTGTCCAGGTACCTCATTTTTTTCAAGTTCTAGGTAGAAAACAAGATTCTTGAATTTCTCAGATAAGATGTATTTTTATTTCTTTACCATGGGAACATAAAATAAAAAAGAACCATGGTGTAACTATGGCTATTATGCTTATGATTTTATAGGCATAATGGAGTATCACAGGGTTACACTCATGGTTAATACACACCCATGAGTGCTTGAGGATCAGGAACTAAGGCCCTTTTCCCTCATGTCCACGCTGTTACTATTATTCATGTATGTAACAAAACCAATAGTCGCTATAGAACAATCAAAAATCTGAGAACAAATAATGCCACTGATAGGGCTGGGCACATCAAGTATACCTGCCAGTTCTGAGGTTAGGTACGAGAAAATGCCCAGCTAGGATGTGATTTGAAATGTGTGCAACAAAATCATTCCCATTTTAAATTCTGCAGACAGTGTAGGGTCCCAGTGGTAGGTGCTGTGGGGTCTGCCCCTGCCTGAGGCTGCTCCCTGACCATTCCATTGCTGGTGAGCAGGGCTGGGGCAGTGCTGATGAGGGCAGCCACTTCAGGGTCCTGCTGCCAGCAAAAGCCACATTTTGGCTCAGACACTGAACAAGCCTGGTGGCCCCGTTCCTGAACCCCACCTTGTGCCCCAACACCCATGCGACAGCACAAACTCCTCCCCAGACCTGCCCAGTTCTCAATAGAGTTTTGGCAGATTATTGTCAACAGCCCTGCCCTGCTCTTCCTGTTTGAGTGCTGTGGGACAGTGACTCTTTTTACCGAAGTCACTGTCTCTCCATGCCTTGTCACCCTCCCTCCACTCCTGGCTCTCCTCCTCCTGCACAGCAATCTGCCCTTGCTGCTCCCTCATATGCACCTTCCTCCGAAAGCTGCCCGTGCACCTTGAGGATTTTACAGAGGTGTATTCATGAAGCGGTGTTGTTATGTCACATCACAGCCAAGGGCACAAAAAATATCCCAATGGCAAATAAAGGGCAAATTTTTTTGTGTGAGTATGGGAAGTTCTGTATCAGCAAAGCTCTTGTATAATAGAGCTTGTGAATGCTTTTTACCATCTGTAGTTGGCAAGGAGATTTTGTCCCATCCTGGCAAGTGATGACATGGCCTCAATAAAACATGACTTTGTCACCTCTTGGATGAATTACAGCAGTACAAAATAAGGGGATATGAAGTCATCTGCCTTTATGGCTCCGTTCATACCAGAATGAAGCAGGCCAGCCCTCGAGCAATCCAAGAAATTATCAAAGTGCTCTTGTTTCTTTCCTTATCTTTCAGGCAGTCAGTGAATTGGCCATTACACCCTGAAGAGTCTCTGAAGGACTGTAATTCAACATATTTGCTCCTTAACCACCGTCTGTTACCAGGTAACTTTCCTTTTCGCCAGAAAAAAAGAGTTGGTTTTTTTGTTTAAAGGGTTGCAGTTCTTGGCTTTAGTACAAATGTACATAGCACAGCAGACAGGAAAGGAACACATTTTAAATAAAAAATAAACAGCACAAATTTCTTTTTGGATTTGAAAGGAAGAAAGAGTCATAAACAACAAATGGCAGCTGAGTACCTCCCTAAAAAGTGCACAGTAAGAGGGTTATGAGGGAGATGGAAAAGGTGCTCAACAGAACAGAATGAAATGGATCTCACAGTGGACCTCTAAGAACCAGAGGGAGTTTTATCCCTGGTGTTAAGGGAGCAACATTGATTCCAATTACAGAGCACTTCTCAGAACAGTATCTTTGTTTTTACAGTGAAAATTGTGTGAAATTCATTCTTAATTTAGCTTTCATCTTCTCAAGATATGTATCACAAGTTCTGTAGCTACAGGCTCCTTGATCTTTGAGTGCAATTTATGTTTAAGACTTCATTGCTACTGCTAAATCACAGGATCCAAGAAGCAGTTGAATTGACAGCATCTCTGGAAAACCCAATCAAAACAAATACAGACTTTAGCCTTACTCAGCATACATTTGTCCGATGTTTTTTGTGGCTCACCTCTAATGTCACACTCCTTTTTGGAGCAGCACCATGGACAAGCTAAACATCATACCAAAACTAATTGTCTATGCTTGAAAAAGTTAAGAGATCTTTTTACCACCTGGAATAAATTGAAATGAGGCAACTTCAACAGAATAATCTCAGTTTTCTTTTATCCTTGTTGCTGGACCCTGTACTCCCTGTACTCCAGTGATCTACACACTCCTGCTGGTACATGCACTGTGTAGTTGCAAGTTGACTTTTTAGAGACATTTTGAGACGAAGCATACAATCTTATCCAGTCCAATATTTTAAGCCTGCACAGTTACACAATCTGGGTAGGGACAATATAACCTTTTGACAAGCTGTGGCCTGGAGCAGTACTTTGCTTAGTGAAACTATGACCACACCTACTTAAGAGCAATGGTTCACTTGAATGACCATCTCTCATACTTGGCACAGTTTTAAAGAGGCACAGTTATAATCCATTTTATTACTATTTGTAGTTATTAACCTTATGGTCTCTATACCATAATCTGCAACTGCAGTTGCTAGTAACTGGATTTTATTATTCCCACATCTTAAAAGATAAGATCAAGATATGAAAGGCTAAAACCAAATGACCCTCTTGCTGCTGCTGGCATGGCTCACTCAGATCACAGTGAGGCAGGCTTGCTTAGGGATCTAAAAGTTTTAAGATACCTGCTGTTTGCATACTTGCTGTTTACCTGCTCAGTAAATATGGATCATAGATATAGCTTAGCACTACATATTTAGGGATGAGTGGTTCAAAAGAATATTATGTTATATATTATGTCACAAATGTAGTCAGTGTTACAGCTATAAATTTTAGCCTTGAAATATATTCTGTCAAAAACACTGTCCATGCCTTGTAACATTTCCCGTTGGCAAGATAAAACTTGGATGAGCTCTACATTACTGGAATGGCTTCAAAACCAACTGCAGGCAGAAATTATTTATAAGTGTCTGTTATTCACAGCTAAAATAGTCTTCTGCTACATGGTGTTCTGACACAGCACAGTACTGGCGTACAGCTCTCCTCAACAGGACCATGACCTTCAAAATGACTGCACACAACAATGCTGTGCCTACTGTGAACCAGTCACACAGAAGTGTTTGCCTTCCTGTAGTTTCATTGAAAGCTAAGAATAATACTTTACACAGAAGTACTCCCACTTAAACAAGCAGGACTACTTGTAACCAACAATTCCAGCACACAGGTAAGGGCTGGGAAGGAAGGGCAGATATTCACTGATTGGTTACACAGTTGAACACCAGGGGTCTGGCGTAAAGCTTTAATATATATTTTACATCAGTGCAATTCCCCTAGAACGCACATTTTCACATGATAAAAATCTTAAGTAATACCACAGTAAATCACAACATTGAAAGTTAACTGTTAATGCTCCACTGAATGGAAAGATTTTTCTTCTTTTTTTTTTTTTTAGTAGAATATTTTAAGTGTCTCTTCTTAATAACAGGTTACACACCATTTTCCCCATATACAGATAAAAGGCCTCTTAGTCCTGGCTGGCTTTTAGTTCACCAACAGCTATTTTCTCATCTCATGTCCCTAACTCCTTCCTCTGGCAGGTCATGTGGCTGGAGAGCTCCAGGGCAGTGTCTCAGCCCAGAGGAGCTGACCAGCCCCAGCTGTGTCAGAGCCAGAAGGGTGCAGGAACCAGCCTCAACTCCTCCAGCCAATACTCACCACGTTTTCCTGCTCTGCTGATGCATTTTAGCCTTGAACTGAAAAATGCCTGTTGTGCATTTGTAAGAGACACAGGGTTATTACTTAAGTGAGAAGAATGCAGGATGATTTTTTTTTAAATAAATAAATGCTTATGGTATACAATCAGTGAACATCCCGTTGATGCTGGAACAAAAATATTAGCTATTAGATTTCCTTCTATTCATTGTTTCTGATTAACCAGAATGCACAATATAAAAACATTAATTTTCTCAGTTCAGGCCAGATGTCCCAATTCCAGAGACGATACCACTCAGAAACTGATTAATGCCTATTAATTTCATGCCTTTATAACAAAGATAAATTCAATAATATATTTACATAATTTTTTGAAATAATCCATTCTCTGATCCTGCATTAATTTCTTAACAGTTGCAGGACCCATCACCTTATATTGTAAATCTGGACTGCATACTGACAGACTGTCACAGGTCCTGTTTTCTTTCCAACAGCTATAAAAAGCTAAAGCAGGATGTCATTCCTGTTTTCATTTGCTAGCTGTTTTCTCCCTCCTTCCATTCTATTTTTTGTTTCTTTTCCTGTTAGAAATTACCTCTCAAACCAACTTAATAATTTAACACTTACTTGCAAAAAGTGATCTAATTAAGGAGTGAATCCATGCTGAACACTCTGCAATGCAGGCAAGTATGTGAACTGCAGTTTTGGAAACAGTTTTGTTTACTGTAAATGAAACTTAGGTTCTGTGAAAGAACTCCTGCTGAATATAACAAAATTTCCAAATACTCAGCCCCTTGAGAAAAAAAATGCAGCACTCGGAATATTTTTAATGGATTTACTAGTGAATATTTCACTCTCAGATATAGCGTAACCATGTCACAATTTTTTTCCCTCTACTCATTTCTTTACATATGTACATTACTTAAAACCACATAGATTTATTGAAGTCATCCTCAAAAATACATTAGCAGTTTTTTAAAACTGATCTTGCACCTTTTAGTGACAGCATCTACATAGTATCAATACAGAATTTAAAGTTATAAGTTTCAACAGAGGCACTCTGAGGAGAATGAGAAGTCCGATTGGGAGAGATTTCAAGCGTGGAGGGACATTTACAGAGCTTAAATGGACTGTTAACTTATTGGACTGACTGTTATTCCCCAGTTCATCATTGGTTTTGCATCAAGTTTAATTTACCACAATATTATTCCCCCTTGTCCCTCAGATTTTCCCGTCAAAAGTTGTTTAACAACTTGTTCTCCCCTGCTTTCCTGCTCCTCTGTCACTGATTGGTTGGAGTTTGCCGCAGTGCAGAGTGAGCTACCATTGGTCCTTTCCCCTGAATACCCAGAAGTTACACCCACCTTTCCCCTGTTTCCCAATTCTGTCTTCCCCTGAGTTGTCAGTCCCATGCTCCTCCCCAGTTCTGAATCCTCCCCTCAGATTTACCCTGTATAAGTCCCTGTGTTCTCTCAATAAATCGGCATTGCACCCAGACCCTCAGCTGCGTCTGAACCCTTTGTGTGGTGCCGCGTCCCTATCCCTTTTTCCCTCAGGCCGTGGCAGATGGCGCCCAATGTGGGGCGCAGTTGAAGGTCTCTCATATTGAGAGAACTCCTGCGTGCTCACTTGGGCTCAGAGACCATCAGGAGTGGTGATCATCCCACCGGTCCCCCCCAGCTGGATGGACGACTGTGGGCTGCGGAGTTGCACAGGTTGACACACCAGAAGAAGGTGAGCAGCTGGGGACAGTCCACTTCCCACCCCAATACCCTCACCCAAAAAACAAAAAAGGGAAGAATAGTAACACCAAGGACTGTCACAGAAGTCTTTAAAACATCAAAATGGGACTCTCGCTGTCCACCTCCCAAAAGTTTGTTTACAGACACCTCAAAGATTTCATCATTGAGCACGGTCACCCCCTAGACAAAAAAATCTGCAAAAGCACTCGCCAAGTGGCTGGACCGCAAAGGTCATAAGCTTACAGAGGATACCTCTGTGGACCAGTGGCAAGCCATTGGCTACAGCCTGTGGCGAGATAATGACAGGGGGGACCGGACAGTGAAAGAGGCGCTGATAGCTTGGAGGCTTGTTCTGATGGTGCTACAGCACCAGATGATGAGCACGAATAGCAGCCTCCCAGAGACATCTACCAGATCGAGACTGACACAAGATGGCGGGAGGGAAGGAAAGACATCACGGCGTGCACAAAATGGCGTCGGGAAGGAGGGAGGCAGAAAGCGTGAGGAGCGAAGGCGGGAAAAGTCGCCGTGGGAGTCACCAGCGCGGGAGAAGAGGGTGCGGGCCCCCTCGGTACCACCCTCCAGACTGCCTCCGCCCCCACCTGCATGTGTCAGTGACCCCTCTCCCGACACGCCCACACACACGGCCTCTCCCTCCAGTTCCGCCTCTTCACCAGAGAGACCTCCCTCTAGAGACGGAAGGGTAGCGAGGGGCGGGGTCAGGGTGAAGGTCAAGTCTGTTTTCCGGCAACATGGCCACACCCATAGGGCCTGTACCATCGAGGCCTACCCCGCCTGCCGCTACCCAGACTCGGACACAGACTACTCGCAGCACTCCCCTGAGAGGTAATCAAAACAGCCTAACATCTGGAAAGCCTTCAGGGAAGAGGCTGCGCAGGCAAACGACGTGGATTTCCTTAAAGCTTTTCCCATATACCTAGAGGAGGGCAGGGCCCCAGAGTGGAGGCCCATCTCCTATCCCATGCTCAAGGATATAAAGAAGGCGATAGTGGAGTATGGGTTAGGAGCGCCTTTTACCATCGGCCTCCTAGAATCATTGTTCCTGGCTTATACACTAATCCCATATGACATAAGAGCGGTAGTGAACAGAGTTGTTTCCACTGTTCAATCATCTGTTTTCGAAACAGAGTGGAAAAAACTGATCACTACCTATGTTAACGAAAAAAAGGAAAGAAGGGGTATCCCGGTGAGACAGGCCATAGACATGCTTTACGGCGAGGGAAATGACTCAAGCAGAAACCATCAGGCCCAAATTGAACCTAAATTTTTGGATGTTACAAAAGAATTGGTGATGGAGGCAGTCAAGAGGGTGGCGGACGCCTATGTCCAGACCCCCTCTTTCACATTAATTAATCAAGGCCCCAAAGAACCTTTTGTGGACTTTATTACAAGATTAAAAGAGGCAATTAGCCGGCAACTCCAGCAAAAGGAAAGTCAAGAAATTTTATTTAATAAATTGGTTATAGAAAAGGCTAACAAGGACTGCCAAAAAGCACTAAAAATGTTGAAAGACCCATCTCTGCTTGAGATGATAGACGCATGCAAGAATACTGGCTCAGGCTCCCATAAGGCACGTCTACTGGCCGCTGCTCTCACCGGGTCACAATCATGTTTTAATTGCGGGTAGAAGGGACACTTTAAAAAATATTGTCCCAGATTAACACCTGAACATAACCTTCCAAAATCACTCTGCCGGAGGTGCGGGAAGGGCCGCCATTGGTCCTCGAGTTGTAGATCACTAACAAATATCAATGGCGAGCCCCTTCTCCCCAGAAAATCCCCAGGGCTAAAGAGAAAAGTAACATTCAGCTCTTTACCAGATCTTCTCCCGTGCTCTTGTGAGCATTTGGAAAACGGGGGACAGAGCGCTCAGGGGGGCGCGTTGACACAAGTATCCCGTCAGCTCCGTTCCATCCTGCGCCCGACACCGCGCCCAGCTACCCCGTAGTGCGGGAGCCTCCGGCAGACCCAGTTCCCTTTAAACAACAGTGTACCCTGCTAAAATGGATTATATTATCAGTGACACACCCTTCAATTCACTTAAGTTCCTAAGAGCAGCTGGCCAGGGTCAGGCCATCTGCTAATGTGAATCCGGACAAGACATATTTAGTCATCTCTCACTTTTCAGCTGTGGAAAGAGGCATTGTTGTGGTTCCCACTCTCCTGACAGGGTTGACCAATGATAACATCGCTGTATGTCTAACTGTGCTTCTCCCACCCGTACAGCTAGAGAGCCGCTTCCCCGTTGCCAAGATGATCTCCACCGATGATCTTCTCTGCATAGTGTCCAAGGACGAGGAACAGGGGAATGAATCACTGAAGGAAGTCCATTGGGCAACCTCAGTGAGGACCTCGCGACCTCTTTTAACTTGTCTTATTTATTTTTCTGCACCTAGGCACCTGCAGAAAGTTAAGGTGGAGGGATTGCTAGACACGGGAGCAGACGTCACCATCCTAGCTTCCAGAGACTGGCCGTGCAGCTGGCTGGCTCAGTCTACAGACACCAAAGTCAGCGGTGTGGGAGGTTCGCAGCACCCTGTCAGGAGTCGGGAGGTATTGACAGTATACGGGCCAGAGGGCAGGCCGGCATCTCTGCAACCGTACGTTCTGAATATTCCAATAACATTATGGGGACGGGACGCCATGGAACAGTGGCAGTTAACTTTGAGAACGGAGGAAAATTTTTAGGAGGGGTCACTGAGCATGTGTAGCTGGCCAAACTGAGTTGGAAGACCGAAACACCTGTTTAGGTAGATCAGTGGCCCCTACCTAAAAGAAAGCTGCAAATTCTAAATGACCTTGTGAATCAAGAACTGGCTAAAGGTCACTTGGAGTCTTCCACCAGTCCCTGGAACACTCCAGTGTTCGTGATTCAAAAATCCTCAGGTTCCTGGAGATTTCTTCAGGACCTGCGCAAAGTAAATAAAGTCCTGGAACCAATGGGAGCCCTCCAGCAGGGAACGCCTTTTCCATCTATGCTCTCTGCTGAATGGCCCCTAGTGGTAATTGATATTAAGGACTGTTTTTTCCACATTTATCTCAATCCGGCTGATTCGGCTAAATTCGCGTTCTCAATCCTGGCCATCAACGCTTGTGAACCCCATCGCAGGTTCCAATGGAAGGTACTTCCCCAGGGGATGAAAAATTCTCCTACACTATGCCAGATGTTTGTGGCAAAAGTGTTGGAGCCAATCAGGAAAAGATTCCCACAGTCAATCATCTTCCATTATATGGATGATGTATTGATCTGTGCCAAAACAAAACTGGCAGTTGAGCAGACTCTAAATTCAACAATTTCGGCTCTAAATTCCAAAGGATTGGAAGTATCCCCTGAAAAGGTACAAAGGGAAGCACCATGGAGGTATCTCAGACTCCAAATTACTGCCAAAACCATTAAGTCTCAATCAGTTTTGATTGATAAGAAAGTCCGAACTTTAAATGACCTCCAGAAGCTGTTGGGAGCGATCAATTGGATCCGACCAGTGCTGGGGATCACAAGTGGTGATTTGCACCCCTTGTTTGAATTGCTCAAAGGAGATGCAGACTTGTCCTCCCCCAGATTTTTAACAACAGAAGCAGAACAAGCCCTTTGCACAGTTGAAAACAAAATCTCAGAGAGACAATCTTACAGAAAAATAGAGGGACTGCCATCTTCCCTAGTTATTATCAGGGAACAACAACAACCACTGGCCATTCTGGGCCAATTCACAAGTGACACCAAGGACTTCTGTTTGTGGGAGTGGATATTCCTCCCACATCAATTTTCAAAAACTATCGTGACATTGGCTGAAATGATTGGCAAGTGAATCTTTAAAGGACGCACCAGGTGTTTGGAACTCAGTGGAGAGGAGCCAGGTTGCATTTACCTCCCACTGACTTCTGAACATCTGGAACAACTGCTGCAGAATTCCATGGATTTTCAGATTGCCATTGAGGGTTACCCGGGAGAAGTCAAATTTCACCTCCCGGCATGCCCATTTTTACAGAGACTGATTCCAATTCCATTAAAATTAAAAATTATGCAATCAGACCTTCCAATAAAAAATGCCAAAACGCTTTTCACCGATGGATCTGGGAGAACCGGAAATGCGGTAATAGTTTGGCGAGAAAATGGCAATTGGCAACAGAATATTCATAAAGTTCAAGGTTCTCCACAAATCGTGGAACTGTCAGCAGTTGTTCGCACCTTCCAAATTTTTAATAGTGAACCAATTAATATTGTATCAGATTCAGCATACGTTGTGGGCATTGTCAAAAGGATTGAAAATTCGTATTTGAAAGAAGTATCTAATGGAAAACTCTTTAATCTGTTGAAAAATTTGCTATTTTTAATTGGAAACAGGAAATTCGGCTACTATATTGTCCACACAAGGTCTCACACTACTTTGCCAGGTCCTGTGGCGGAGGGAAACCAGATTGCTGACCATCTGGCAGGTATGGTTGTTACCCCCAATTTATACCAGCAAGCAAAAATCTCCCATGAATTTTTTCACCAGAATGCGCGGTCACTACAGAAACAATTCAGCTTAAAATTGGATCAAGCAAAAGAAATTTTGAAAGCGTGCCCTGACTGCCAAATGGTTGCTCCACTAGTTCCAGAAGGAACTAACCCCAGAGGATTAACGGCGTTGGAGATTTGACAGTCAGATGTCACGCACATAGCAGAATTTGGAAAACTAAAATATGTACATGTGTCTATTGACACATTCTCAAAAATGATCGCGGCCACCGCACATTCTGGTGAAAAAAGCAGGGACGTGAAAAGACACTTTTTATCTGCATTTGCTAGGATGGGTGTCCCGAAGCAAATAAAAACTGACAACGGACCCTCCTACGTATCTGCAGACACCAAGAGATTCTTTGAAGAATGGGGGGTACACCATACCACTGGAGTCCCATACAACCCCACAGGGCAGGGCATAGTAGAGAGAGCACATCAAAACATAAAAAATTTACTCAAAAAACAAAGAAGGGGGAGTACAGGCATGACCCCCCAAGAGAGATTAGAGAAAGTGATGTACGTCTTAAATTTTTTAAATTTATTGGAGGAATTTGAAACTCACACAAACAGAAGTCCTGTAGACAAGCACTTTAAATCTGATTTTCCACAGAGTACTCAAAAAGCAAAAGTAATGTACAAAGACCCCATAACAGAAATCTGGACGGGCCCTTTTCCCCTGATCACCTGGGGGAAAGGGTATGCCTGTTTTTCAGGTGGCACAGGACCTAAGTGGGTCCCAGCAAGAAGAATACGAATACATCAGGATCCCAACACAAGTTGTGGACCTTCCGCGCCTGCATCATCTTAATCGGCACTTTAGGACTGATCTGCAACAAGTCTACCTCATCTCCCCTGAGAGAGTGGATGAAGAAGCCGACAGAGAACCTGTGGGTAACGCTGGCCAAGGCCACTGGGACGGACACCTTGTGCCTGGCCTTGTCCAGCGCCGGTAACCCCTTTCAAAGGTCCCTGGTGGGTATTCCTGTGATTCCAGGTGAGGAGTGGAATGCTTTTGTATCACAAACCCGGAATCTGGGATCCCTGCCACTAAATTCTGTTACACTAAGCACAGGTTGTTTCCGGCCAAGCTTTCACTGCGGATCCTCCCCAAGAAATTGACCTCCTTGTTCTCTCCCCACCAATAATTGTATCTTATTTCATCGTTACACGGAGCCCAATCTATTCACACCCCATAATGTATCCGCTAGCAGACCAATTTACCAAGGAACCCCCTCGCTGTGGTGTAACAATTCGATTGCTACTACAGTAGCAACTGAACTTGTGCCCAGAAATATGAGACTCCCAAAAGGGTTTTTCCTTCTGTGCCGGGATTGGGCATGGCAGGGTATTCCTGCTTACCCGGAAGGGGGTCCCTGCACAGTAGGAAAAGTGGCACTTTTTAACCCAGCAAAGTTTAAATTATTGGATCAACCCCCTATCCCTAAGAATCAAGTTAAAAGATCCCTATCCTTTGCAATGGGCGCACCGCTTAGGTTTCCTAAGCCAAAGACAACACCACCATGCGCCACCAGCCCAAAACCAAAAGTTACTACTCCCCGTGCTGTTGCGGCACCACATGTGGACGCTGGAATCGTCACTCCGCCACCTCCTTTACCCTTCCCGGCGGATTGCGATTCCAACATCCACATCTGATCCCGCATGAAAAATTTCTGGGCTTCCTTCCCGATCCCGGGCATAGGAACAGCCCATGCCCTATCCCTTTTGACCCACCTTGGTTGCTGGCTGACCAAGGAAGCTAATGCCACCACCACTGCGATCGAAGGCCTGCTAGCAGATACACAAAAGTTAAAAGAAATCACTTTACAAAATCGTGCAGCCATTGACTTCCTACTCCTGGCACACAGACATGGGTGCCATGAGTTCGAAGGCATGTGCTGCATGAATTTTTCGGATCATGCACAGTCAATTCATCAGAGTATCAATCAGTTGAAAAATTTAGTTCAAGATATCCACCAATCCCGCAGTGAGGGGTTGGATGGATTGTTTGATCCATAAATCGGCATTGCACCCAGACCCTCAGCTGCGTCTGAACCCTTTGTGTGGTGCCGCGTCCCTATCCCTTTTTCCCTCGGGCCGTGGCAGCACTCTCTCATATCGATGTTTGCAAACCACTTATTAAGAAGGGATAGTGTTACAAACAAATCCATCTGCTGTGATACCACTGCTCTCCACATGCATTACAAACAGCGTAAGTCAACATTTGTTCATCTGGATTCGTGTTTCGCACCCAACTTGGAAGAAAGAGAGTTCCTCTGGCGATCATAGTGACAGTGCAATCAAATTTTTCACAGCGCCTACACTTTATTTTGTTTGTCTGTGTGCCATTAATAACTTGTGGAAGCTGATGTTCCTGAACAGATGATTCTGTGTACAGAGCCCTGAGCTGTTTCAGTTCATCGCTGGCCATTTCCATCACTGTCATCTCAGCAAAAGCCTTTGGGCTCAAAGTCCCTGTAAAAAGGTTATGTTTCAAGTGGCAATTTTTAGGGTTCTTCAGGTTAAAGATTTTACTTCTGATGCAATTTTTATATTTTTTGTCATTTTTAGCATGAAGAGCAAAAATATGTTTTTCAATTTCTTTAGATAACTGTAGCCATTTAACAGTTTCTTCTTCATCTTTGGCAGAACCAATCAAAGCTTTATATAGAAGATCTGTACATTTATACCTAGAGCTCTCATCGGGTCCTGATGGCAGACTTGCTCCATTAACAACAGATTTAGAATCTTCATTAACAATGTGTTGCTCCTCAAAAGAAGAAGGCTGATTCATACTGCCTTCTGCATTGTTACATACCCCATTTTTAACAGTTTGTGATGGGACCAAAAAGCTGGAACTAGTACCAGCTATTGCCTCCTCCTGATATGGTCCTTCAGACAGCAACTGCTCTCTAGGAACCACACTGCAATGCCCAATTTCCTCTTTCACATACGCAGAAAATGACTGTCTAACTTGCATTGACCGAACACAGTTATTCTTGTAAAGTGCTTTCCACCTTGATAATAACTGCTTTGCTTTCTTTTTCAACCGTCCTGAAGGGCAGCTCTTGAGTACTCTGTATACAGCCTTGGTAACTTCTGTCCCCTGAAGATATTCTACAATCATAACAACATCTTCAAGTTCTTTAAGATGATCCTCAATATCTTGAAAATTGTTCTCAGACAGCAGTTTTTCAATACAACGGGTTCTGTGTACAATATTTTTCCAATCAGACATTTTTAAACCTGAAACAAAAAAAAAATATTATCATTTTACTGCATTTATGGCATTAATTCATCTTCTGTATATTCACACAAGGTTTTCTTTTTCATTTCATGCTATTTTACACTATTTTATTTGTATACATTACTGGGTTTGCCACCATTTTCTTGAAATTGTGTACAGAAGAATTAATGAAGCAAATGCAAAATGCAGAGGAGCCCAGCTCCTGGAAAAATGCAAATGCTAGTCTAACTCATTCCAGAAAAATACTATCAGACAGGAGAGCCCAGAGGGACTTCTGCTGGGGTAGTCAAGTGACTACAAATGAACTCAGTGTAAGGCGCAATGACACAGAATAATAGAAAAATCAAAGTGGGTCCAAAACCTTCACATTGTAAGGTGCTTTTTTGGGGGGGGTGGGGGATTACAAGTTTAGTCGGTTTTTGGGGGTTTGGTTTTATAAATTAGTCATTCCTGTAACCATATATTAAGTTAAAATTTTTTTTTCACAAATTCTTATAACAAATGCTGAGATGTTTGGCTATCTGTGGTTTTGTTTCAATGAAATCTGCAAGTTTCCACTTGGTTTCTCATAAGAAATCCTTTAGATAAATTCAAATATATAGGATTTGGCATTAGAAGACTGACTTGGAATAGGGAGTAATGTGTATCATAGCTACATTTTCCACAAATTTATTTGGTTTTGCCACGGTATGTTGTAGCCTGTGCAATGGAATTACTGATAAGTGCAGAAAATAGACGCATGCATTAAGAATGACCCAGGAAACATACAAAGTTAGAAAGTTTAAGAAAATTTGCACAGTCACATTGTTTTAGTTAAAATTTTAACTTCTACAGCAGACAGATGAGATACCTGTGAATTGTGATTTTTTCATTTCACACTTTTTCCTCAAGCCTTTGTTACTTCAAAAGAATAAAATTAACCAGCTAATGAGGACTTGGCATCTGACCAAACGTTACTGACCTAAATGAGTTTTTCAAGCACCTAATGGAGATGCCAGAGTTTTCAGGCTTTTGGAGTACTTTTTTGTCACCATAACTTGATATTAGGGATTTCTTCAATTAGTGAACAGCAAGTAGGTGAACACGTTGTATTGGGAGCTGCAAAGTGAAGTTCTGGGGTTACTCTGCAGAAAGTCTAAGTGAACTGACATAAATCAGTGAAAGTTAAGCCCAAAACACCATTCTGGTTCCTACATGATCCTCGACTTTTCACTTGCTATGCTATATCTCTTCTAAAAATTTCTCTTTATAGGTGTTATCAGAGAAACAATTCCGAGTAGTAAACTTCTAACTGATGTCCCCACTGCTGCCTTTCTCTTGCTAGTTCTGGCTTCATATTACAGTTGGATTATCAGGATAGGGAAGCTCAGAAACAGTGACACCAGCAAAACAGTTTCGAAACAATGACATCTACCAATTTTGAAAATTCTTAAAACTTAAAGACACATCCCTCTATGTTCTTACAGCTGTAGCATTATTAAAGTGTGCTCCCATATATGCCAGTGTGTAAAGGAAAACCAAATGGTGTTTTCAGAATGCAAAGTCTCATGGCTTGAATAAAATTTCCTTTTGATTCCTTTGCCTCAACCCCTTTGACCAAAAAAATGCTCAGTGCATTGTTATTGTAAATTTACACACAAAAGTATGTTGATGTTACTAATGCTATTCTTCTACTTGCTGAAAAGGAGAATTAAATGTAGAATGCAGAAACGGATGGTGTGTTAATGTTGTGTTCCTCTTTTCTGCAGTTAGTCCTCTAAATTTATGCACAAAACCACTGTTTTGTCTGAAATTGCATACTTCCTGATTCTACTCCAGAAAAAGTCATTTGCTTGATAGAGGCAAGGCTAACTACACATGTCCATATGTAAAGGAGCTCATAAGCAGGGTTCTTGCAGCATCACTGTTTCCACGATGAAAACTCCTGAGGACGGAGTTAGAGGAGGGACAAGGGATACAGCTGGGGAATGTGCATGCTCTGTTGCTCTCTATGACCACCAGTCCAGATAATTCATTTTCTGCATGATAGAAATAAGTTCAAACTTCAGGTTTAAACTTCAGAGCCTCAGAACTCCACAAAAGAAAAGGACAGAGAGCACAAGACTTCACTTGTTTCTATAATCCTGAACCACAGACCAACCCAACCTCCACAGTGAATGCTCTGAACATTCACTTAACCTGTATTTGAACAGTGCATTCTTGTCTAACATTTTGAAGTCCTGGAAAAAGGCCAGTAATGGCTATTACAGAAACTGTTTTATTACCCAGGAATTTTCAAACCAGAGAAATAAGATGCAGTTTTCAAATACTTAAATTGAACCCTGTGCATCATCATACTGAAAAGCACATGTAAGTCCATCCTCTCCTCTGTTCTGATGCAGGAACACACAGAGACTGTCAGTGGAAAGAGGTGCTTTCTCACGTATGGCTGCCCTCACTAAGCAGGACAGTTTTCTGTCTCCAGAACACTAAGTAGCTGACATTAGAAAATGATTATCGGCTGATTTACTGGTTTTCGTGCAATCTGGGGCAGAGTTGGTGAGACAGTCCTATGTTTGACCAGTATGGTTGTCCTATAACTTAGAATCAGTTCTGATTCTTCCAACATACTCCAAACGTAATTTTCTTCAGTTCTTGTACCTATGTATATATTGTATTACACTCACACACCATAAAACACACTTATCCAAATGCAAGATGACTTCATGAACTCTCAATATGTAGCATACAGGACTACGGACACACAAAGAAATTACCACACACAAAGTACTCTGCCAATTATTTGTCCGTGTACATACTTTTACCCTGTGACGAAGGTGAAGTATTTTGATCTTTCATTGAGGACTGTGCTTCATAGAAAGTTTCCTCTCTAACATTGCAGGGTGAAGATCTGTAAGTAAGAAATGGTGCATGGAGTCCATGGATACCCCCTGCTTCATGGCAGTGGTCCTTGCTCACGGTTATCTACCTGACCCTCAGAAGCCCACCAGGGTGGCAAGGTTCTACCTAAGGACATTTACACTAAGGCAATAGATTAAATTATGAGATTAGCTCAGTTGGTTAGAACATGGTGCTAATAACACCAAGGTTACAGGTTTGATCCCCATATGGGCCATTCACTTAGAAGTTGGACTCGATGGTCCTTGTGGGTCCCTTCCAATTTAGAATATTCTGTGATTAGAAATTTTAAATCTTCTCAGTCATGCATTGACCTTTTCAAGTTTAAGCAGCATTACATTCCAGTTCATAAATATTATAGGAGTTAAATAAACAAACTGAAAACAGAATAGGGACATCAAACTATGAACAATTATTTTAAAATAATTTTGGAAATTAAACCACCTAACAGACTATTCACATTTAAGTCCCTTCTAAGGGAACGCTTCCCTCAACATGTACATCTTTATATGAGGTAGGACTGAGTGACTCCCTTCAAACTTACTAACCAAAGCTGGGTAAAAGTAACAGAAAAAGTAAGTAATCAAAAATATGACAAGAACAGAACTAAATCCATAATTAAATATTGCAATGGAGTGGGATATGCACTGGTAACTGGCAGAAGCACAAGAAAGAGCCAGCAGAGAAACAACTGAATAAAGGTAAATAATCAATGACACCAGAGAGATTTCTGCAGGGAAAATATTCTTGGAACAGCCCTGGCTTTGTGGTGTGTACCTAGTTTGCAAAAGATTTTAAGATCCTTCAAGATGAAAAGCAATTTACACTTCTGAAGTATATATTACACTAACTAATCGAGTATAAATTTCATCTGTTTCCAAATTAAAAGGAACTGTGCTGAAAAAAAAAAGTTGTTTGTGCATTTGTTGCCCTATAAATCAAGGAAGGACTCGACTTATCACCAAGGTTGAGACAGACCATTGTTTATGCAATCAGAAATTAAACAGAGACTCCTGAACTTATAAGGAACATATAAGGTAATCAAATGGTTGATCTTTACCATTCAAAGGATGAAGCAAAGGTCATTATTGCGGGGAATCCTGTGTACCATTTCATGTTAAGTCTGAATCAAGCACCAATTCTGCTTTTCTAATCAAGACACAACATGATTATGTCAAACAACTGTAAAAAACATGTTCTTCACATTCTTATAGGGAGAAATAAGAAATCACTGAAGCTGTGGTAATACTGCGGTGTATTTTCTAGTGGGAACCCAAGTATAGCAAGAGTGAGTTCTTTCCCACTGAAACTCTTGTTCCTTGAACTCTGATGTTTCTGTTACAAATCAGATAGAACAAACAGTAAGTTGGGAGAAGCCTCAAAACCATCTGAAGAGAAGTCAAGTGTTTCACAGAAACCAAGCCTCAAAACCATCTGAAGAGAAGTCAAGTGTTTCACAGAAACCAAGCTGGAATTCCAAATGGAAAATTATTTTACCACCTGAGGGAGCTGTAGCACAGAAAACCCATGGAATCTTGTAAAATGTGCATAATGAGAAACTCCAGTCTGTGAAGAAAAAAAAATAAAACAATTTCCCTATGACCTTTAGGAGACTTCACATTTTTACGGTATCTATTTGCCAAATTTTGGCAAAAAACCCCTGTAGAATCCATAGGTGCTAGGATACAGATAGGAGGGAAAGGGTGCACCCCTTATCCAGCCCTTGTCCTTTACATTGCTCTTTCATTTGACTTTTTTAAATTTAGAGTTTGACTGCTTTTCTACCTGATTTACTGCAATTTGACAAATGCTGCTGAGCAAATATTTATAAAATTAACTGAATTGTACTCAGTCAGCACTGTTCTGCTGTCTTCCTAATTCCAAGGGACAAAAAAATCCAAGAAAGACCATTTTCTTTCTTAAGTTATGAAATGAATCGTGCGCCTTTGTTCAGGTAAAGATGTAAGAAAGAATAAATGTGTCACAATTTTGTGCAGTACAATACAAACATTCTCACCCCTACCACAACTACACAAGGCATTTCACTTAAGCAATGCATAGAATCACATAATCAGAGAATGGTTTGGGTTGGAAGGGACCTAGAGGTCATCTAGTTTCAAGCCCCCTGCCATGGGCAGGGATACTATTTACTAGACCATGTTGCTCAGAGCCCCATCCTGGCCTTGGACACTCCCAGGGATGGGGCATCCACTACTTCTCTGGGCAACTTGTTCCAGTGCCTGACCACCCTCTGAGTAAAGACTGTTGCCTTCACTCCCTCACAGAAGGCCACCAGACTGGTCAGGCATGACTTGCCATTAGTAAAACTGTGCTAGCTACCTCAAATTACCTCCTTGTCTTTTATGTCCCTTACCATATCTTCTGGGAGGATCTTCACAGGAACAGAAGTGAGGTTCACTGGTCTGTAGTTCCCTGGATCTTTCTTTCTCCCCTTTTTGAAAATGGGAGTGATGTTTCCCTTTTTCCAGTCACCGGGGACTTCACCTGACCACTGTGGCTTTCCAAATATGCATGAGAACATCCGTTTGAATTCCAAGAGTATATTGAAGGTTACAAGGTAGAGATTGGTCATATTTACAATAAGACTCTGTAATGCCATGCTGATGAAGCACTTTCTTGCCAAATCATTAAGAGTTTTCACTCTGACTGCACAGTATAATGAGTCACTTGTGTGTACAAGAATAAATAATGACAATCAATAAAAATCTTCTAAGTCAGTTTGCTCCCAAAAACCAAAAAAAAAAGATTAGGCTACCTCAGGTTTAAAATATGGCCATCCTGTAATAATGCAAAGTTGAATCAGAACATTTTTAAACAGTATAATGACTAAATAGGAGTAAAACAAAAAAACAGACAAAAAACCCCCCAGCCTGAGACGCTGCTAAATGCAAAGTCAGTCCCTGGTAAAAACACTGGCCTCTACAAAATCATTTGGGGTAAAAGCCTTGTCTTTGCACCTTATCCAGTGCAAAGCCATAGCCTATTTTGTCTTAGCACAGATAGCCCTGAAAAACCAAGACAAACTCAGAGTGCATCCAAGCAAATGGGTATGAATGTCTTGGAAGGGTGAACGCCAGTTCTCCCTCATCCCAACCTCAGAAGAAAATCCAAACCACAGCCAATATGAGGATCAGAAGTCAAGTACTCCTAATGGCATAATAAATTTTCTGAAAAAAATGTGGTTAATGCTATAGCAGAGATGATGCATAGGACAGTCCTGGAAACACCGGCTTACTTTGGGCAACCTAAATTTCATATAAACAATAAAAATCATCAAATGTTATTTTAAACTCAAGAGTCTAAGCAGAAATCAGAGAATTCTCACAGCCAGCTTCCAGACCCAAAAACATTCCTTCACCCTATCTGCAGTGGGAGAGCAGATTTCAAAGATGTCACCAAGAAACCATTTACTGGGGCTTTTATTTTATCTTGGCAAAAATCAGAGCTCTTCCTGCCTCTCAGCAGGACTGCCTCCCACCTCTAAAAAATTCTGAACTAGACAGAAAATCATCTTCAAAGAATAGCCACATGAATAAAGCTAAGTTAATACAATAAGAACTGAGGCAACACAACAGTATAATTGCCAGCTGTCTGTGACCACAGACACCTCATTGATCAAGAAGAGTCACCTCTCAGTCACAGATCCAGGGGCAGTGGAGTGCACAGCACTACTAAGGAGAAATAGCTTTGTTCTGTATCTTCTACATCAGTGACTGCTTCAACTACAGTGTTCTCAACTAATCTGGAGCTGTACTGTCTCTGTCCTGTGTTTCTCTCACCGAAATCACTCTCCCACAGCTTTCTTCCTAAAAGGGGGAATTTGCAGGGAGAAATGGCAGAGTGCATCACATTCATGTGAAGATGTACACAGTAGCCTCTTTTACAAGGCAAATTTTTAATTCTGATTTGGAGTTGCTTCTCCCAGAACCCCCAATTTTAATTAAAATAGAATTCTTATTTTCTTAAAAAAAAAAGAAAGGGAAAAAGATAAAACAATCAATAGAGTGCATAACGAAATTCTCAAGCCTCAGGGATCAATTCCAAACTAGAGCTGTCAGCACATTTTTCTAATAAGATCAAACAAACATGCATGGATTTAATGAGATAGGAAAAGCTGCTGTCCTTACCAGACTGCTTAGCCACTGGCTTCATTTGACATCAGCCAGAGCTCAGGAAAAGGCTCAAAATATTACAGCTACACCAGAGGAATAACACCCTCGCTTGTTTCACAGCAGAAATTACTAGATGAGGAAAATTCTTTATAAACTGAACAGCTGCAGCTGTTTTGAGTTCTAGGACATTCAGCTGATGTTAGAGTGGACACACACATCCCAGCAGAGACTTTACCTTGCTAATGACTTCTTTTAATAACTTAGTTTAGAATGAAATTGAGTCTCCCTAGAAGATATTTTAGCTTTTCCTATATTCTATCTGCCTTAATCATGTGAATTGTTGTACTGAATTAAGTAGGTAACCAGTTGAAACCCTGAAAATGTTAAAAGTAATGCATTATTCCACTGATATCTTTATTTCTATTGATATGGTTGATCTTTTTAATAAAATACTTTTAAGGAGTTAAAAAATACTAAATTTACTTTTAACAAGTTACAGATTACAAGTATCGAGTGGAGTTACTAGCTAATCTCTTTCACAATAGGACAGCTATACATACTCGCAATTCATTCTAATACATTCTGACTCAGTATGGCAATAATAAAATGTAAATAGAGTTCTGAGAGATTTTTCATCAACAGTTTCATTGGAAATTATGTATAAATAATGTGTGCTTCTATTTGCTTTAAAATTTGCACCATTTTACATAAAGAAACACTTGCATGGTTTCTCTAATCTACAACCAGATCATTTTTCAGTATTCACTAACTTTATTCTCATCCCATTTCCTAGTTTGGGCACAAGGTCACAGAAATGTTCCATTGGGTTATCTGTTTTTTCAAATTTTCATGACAAAGACTTATCACAGCTGGCAGAGAAATCCCTTTTCTCTCAGCCTCTTTCTAGTGCTTGTCAGTGTGAGGTACTAGCTGGGGCTTCAAGCAAGTCAAAAGTCAGGCTTTTGACACACAGGGTACATTTTCTAAACATGAACTTCCACTGTGGCTACAAGTGACAAATACACATCAGAAGAGTGTTGAATGAAACTAGATGACTCAGACATGAATTAATGTTACCTAGCTATGGTAAAGACACAGACTGTGACAGATGCATTTTGCACTAATTAAGCTGACTTCCTACGGTGCAGTTTATCACAGGATTCAGGCTTTTTGTGTGGCTGCACACAATTTTTCAAAAATCATATAATAATTTTTGTGATTATAAATTAACAGAGTCTCCTGCAAACTAAAGAGTATAGCTTATCATCTGGACCAAAAACTCAAGCTTGTTAGAAATACATCTAGCATTTTCCCAACATGCCTCTATCATGAAGGCAAAACTTAAGCTGGGACAAGCAAAAAATGATAATACCATTCCTGTAGCATCACCTGCCTCAGTACCCAACCAAAACTTCACTGTGTGAAAAAGTTTCTTTGCACTTTGTGAAATAATTGCTTCATTTCCTAACATTCATGTTTTTACAACAGTAACAGATTTTAAAACAAAAAATAATTATTATTGTTAAATCCGGCAGACCATATGAACAATATTTCACTATTTTCCCACAGCAAGAGGATGTTATAAACATTCCTCCTCACACAAGAAACCTACCTGGCAATAGAAATATGATCTAAGCAGCTTTGTGTCATTGTTTACTAATTAACTACTTTTATTCAATATAGCTTAGTCTCCTAAACTGTTCATCTGGATGGATGCAAATGTTCATATCCATATTTCACAGAATCACAGAATATGCTGAGTTGGAAGGGACCCACGAGGATCATCCAGTACAACCCTTAGCCCTGCACAGGACCATCCCCAAGAGTCACATCCCGTGCCCAAGAGTATTGTCCAAATGCTTCTTGAACTCTGTCAGGCTTGGTGCTGTGACCACTTCCCAGGGGAGTCTGTTCCTGTGCCCAACCACCCTCTGGGTGAGGGACCTTTATCTAATATCCAACCTAAACCTCCCCTGACACAACTTCAGACCATTCCCTCAGGTCCTGTCACTGGTCACCACAGAGAAGAGATCAGTGCCTGCCCCTCCTCTGCCCCTCATGAGAAAGTTGTAACTGCAATGAGGTCTCCCCTCAATCTCCTCCAGACAAACCAGCCAAAGAATTTCAGGAAGGCTGTGACATCTTCAAAGTGGAAGCTGGTTTCTTCAACGTACATTAAACATATTGCCTTATACAGGTCACAGTTCACGAAGTGTGTGCGTGCTCTCTCTGCGTCTGAACACCACTGGGATTGTATCAGACATCTGGTCTGCTCCCTCTGCTCAATGTCTGCGTAAAAGAAGCATTCATAACAATGTCCTCCAAACGCTGGGAAATCATAATTCAGAATTCCCAATACACTGAGATTGGCTTATACACTATATTGCTTTTAGAAGTAAAAAACTGGGAACTGTTCTGCATTTCTTTTAAGGCTGTGAGCCTCTAGTGTTGCCATCTTTCCACCACAGACAAAATCACTAAGAGTTTACTTTTCTGGAAAAAAAAAATCAGTTTTACATGTTCTATTGTAACTGTAGAAGACAGACAATCCTTTCCCTGTTTATCCATAACGATGTTACCTCTCATGTTCATGCTTGGCATTAGAGTTTAGATATTTCTCCACTATTTTGTATCTTCCTCTGGAATGTCTTGTTTGGTTAGAATTAATAGCATTAATTTTTTAAACCTACTGAAGACCATGTTGTGAAGTGCAGGTTTAACACTGGCTTTTAAGTGGCAGTGTATCCACCTATTTTTCAGTCCTAAAAAATATTGCTTATATCCTCTTGCAGATGTCCAGGTTGTCTGAAACCTGGACAACCTCAACCTAAATGAAGCTTTCCTAAGGTGGATCTCATATCCTCCTTTCAGTGAGCTTTTGCACTGGCACAAAAGTCCAACAAAACAGATTGGCTTGAACTTAGGAGCCTAAATAAACAAGTAAAAATGTACTTAAGACATACCTATCCAAAGTGTATTTTTTCACTTAATACTTTAGAAAGAAAATATGAATGATTTTTGAGAGAAACAAGCAATTCTTTCTCTTGAATACATTTCCTTGACAAAATAGCTTTAAAGATTATTTTTATATAGAGCTAGCAAGGACTTCAGTTTTAGCACACTATGAGCAAAAGTAAGTGCTCAGTCTCCAATGCCTTTTTATGGATAACTGTGCTGACAAATTCAGATAAAAATGGAACATGTAAATAATAAAAACATGCTTTATGAACTTCTGTGAGCTTTTCATCATTTTTCAGATGAACACAGACATTTTATTGCTTTAATGTTCAATTTTTAGTTAAGCATCAGCTCTATACTATTTCTATTGCCATTCCATTGCCAGGGCCATACTTAGATTAGATATCACTTTATCGTTCTTTTATAGGATTTCCACTGAAAATTTA